TCGCAAAAAAAAAAAAGAAGATAAGAACTAAACGTCTAACGACTAAACCCTTATATATATTCGAAAATTTATTTATTTTCCTAATTTCAAAAGAAATAACCTTTTTAAATTTGTGTGTTTCCATAGTTTTAAAAGAAATAACCTTTAATTTTAAAAACTTGTTAAGTTTTCTTTTAGTTTTTTTTTTCCTTAGTTTGTCCCATGCATATAATACTTTTTTGTTTTTGGCATATTGCAAAAGGACCATAGAATGATAGAAATTAATGATGACTATTGGATCAACAAGTTAAATCAGGATTAAAATTTATATATTGACCGACGTCGGATCAACATGTTCACACGATTGACTTCTAGAAGCAAACGTTTTTTCCCTAAACATTTGTTACACAAAACGCTTAAGTAACACTAGCAGGACCCTAAAAAAACGCTAAAAGAATATTTTTTGTTTTTTTTTTCCATCTAAACCATAATTTTTCTCTATAATAAGAACCCCAAAGTAAAATCAGGAAAATGATGGACCCCTTTCGATGTTGGGTTCCGGTGCGGCTTCACTTTTTCCCTTGCATAATAGCTCTACATCTCCGAATGCCATGATAACTACTACAACGAGACCACAAAACATAACATCAATCGCCAGTGGGACTACGTGTTGGAACCAACTGATTCTCCCCTGTGGCCGTGGGACTTCGTTTTGCAACCGATCACTAATGCCGCATTGATGAGAGTTGCTTCTCCATTTGGCTCCACACTTGTAGCAAAATTGATTTCCACACCTAAATGGAATGACACGAGAGAGGAAGCATATCATGACGATATCCAACGTTTATTATATGACTAAAACATAATCAAATTCGAGAAACATCAACATATATCTTCATGTCTATAATATACTTCTTTCAAACATATACAATTAAGGACCATATAGATCGAGAAAGATACCTGCAAGTTATGTGTTTGCATCCGGAAGTACGTTCAATCATGTGTTGGCACTTACCGCATTGACGCCATCCTTTAAGTTTTGCTAGAGATTTTAGCTTTACATCATAATTATCATTTTGAGGTCTAGAATGCAACTTCTTGTAATCAGTGCACGATAGCCTACTATGCCATGGAACTTTGCAGCGGACGCAGAAGCTGCCACCGCATTTGAAGCAACTCTTCCTATGAGTATATCGAAAAAGCGAAAAAAGCTCGGTTTTCGACATCAAGTAAGAGCAACTTTGGTACGGACAATAAACTCTCTCTTTCAAAGGAGTTGAGTCCTCTTTAATCCTCTGTTTCCACATTGAACTCAGCTTGAGAGTCAAAAACTTGCCACATCTATCAAATGAAAGCTGAGACTCACAACGATGCACAAGACAATTCGGTATCATTCGATCTATCAGTTTAACCTCTATATGCTTCTTCACACAATTAAAGCAAAACCGATGACCGCATTCATCAACAAGAAACATGAGATCAGAATCAATGTCGTCACCGAAACAGATAACGCAAGACTCTTTGCTCTTAGCCGTCATTTTCTCGAGAAGTAAAAGAAGAACTCGAGAGAATTCTCCTTTACGAGTATGAAGCTTTGTGTCTCAAATCATATAGTCTAGTTATATCGAGTTATAAACCCGGCCCTTAGAAGCTAACTAATTATAAACTCTTTTTTTTTTTTGGTCGTGATTATAAACTCTAACAAAAAGAAAGAGTTTTGATAATTATTCTCACCATTTAAGAATATACTGAATTTTAAAAGAATTTCCGATTTTCTTAAAATTTGTTCAACGAGTTTCTAAGATTATTAGAAAGTTTTGTAGAGTTTATCTTTTTTTGTCGGTTGTAGAGTTTATCTTAAATACTGTATAA